TAATATTAGATAAACACTGTGAATGCACACGAGCATGTACTGGTGAATACTCATGTGGTTGGATTATAACATTGTGTCTTTTAGACTATATATAAATTGCTCAGGATGCACAGTGGCACTTTATCTATGTTTCGTACATTGGCTAGCATGCTAATGGGGGTTAAAAAATAGCAACAGCAGTAGAATAAAATCAACTGAGTGACATTTAAAAATCATTGCAAAGGAATGTTCTCAGCGCTGCTGTCTTGTTTGTTTCAAGCTGCAGCGTCAGGGCAGAGAGGCCATATAAAGCAGCAGAGAAGGGGGGGATGCTCAAGGAAGCTGTGGCTGTCTGGTCACTTTGTGGAGGCTTTTAAGACCGACAGTAGAACCTTGAAATCTTGGTTTCTGATTTCAGTGTAAAAATATGCTGTTGACTACACTCTTTTCTCACTCAGGAATTGCACCACAGTTGAACTGTATGAAACACTCCTAAGTTGCAAAATGCACAAGGGGAAAAGTGCATTTCCTTTGCCGCACGTCTTATTTTGAAACCTTAGAGAATTTGTGAGTGGGTTTGCAAAAGCACAGTCCATTTGACCAACTCATGGAGAACTAGGATACAAGTTAGGATAATCAGCCTGGTTGCACCTATCCTTGTACCTTCAGAGAAAATTTAATCTGCTAAAATTTTATGCTTATTTTGTTTGGATGTTAAAACATGCAAAAGCACTGGAAGAGCAAAGCTAGCAGTCCAAATTCTTATATTGTACCTAAATAAATCATGACTAGTTCAGTTACATTTTTTTTATACAAAATAAATGTGTTCTTTTCCTCGGAAGTTTCCGTACCCTGCTAGGGCAGAACAGAGGGCAATGGACTTGTTTTGATGTAAAATTAGTAAAACCAAACACAGGATCAGATTTGCTGACTAAAAATATCTACAGAAGAAAAAACTGGCACCTGATCCAAGGGGAAGTAATGAATGCATAGCTGATGCAGAATGATAATGGATTATACCCACAGAAATGATTGCAAAGTTAATCTTAAAAACCAAATAACTTAATTCTGATCCCAGTGATTTTGATTAAAATCAACTTGAAAAGAATGTCTAATGATTTGGTACTGATGTTGCTTTAATTAGTGGAAAAGTGTAAGAAACAAAAGGAATAAAATACTTTTCATCTTAAAAAAGGAGAGCTTCCTGGGGTGTGGGGAAGATGTGTATGTGCTGGAACCATGATAAAGCTTCCCTGTGAGGAGTAATGAGTTAGTGAACCTTTTTCAAGTACAACAGTTTTCTTTTTGAAGCTAATATTTGCCTTGTAATAACAGAGTTTCACAGTCACTACAAAGTGCTTGTACATTTCTATTGCTGGGTATATGCTACACCCACAGTCAGTGCACATAAATGAATAGGTGGCTATCTTTCAGTTGCCTTTTAAAGTGTGATCTATAATGATAAATCATTTTTTTAGAGCTCTGGTTGGCACAGGAGATTGACAAGAGTCTGCTAGGGCCTCTTTGCCCTGGCACTGCCATTTATAATTTAGTCTTCACCCAGTGGTGCCTGAAAACTTCTGATTTTACCCAAGTCCAGACAAGAGTCTGGAGCTGAAATTCCATGTGACTACAACTGGTTGGAGAACTACCGTGGGTTCAGATCACCCCTTCTTTTTCTAACATATTTTCTGCAGCCCCGACATAAACTAAAGCCTCACACAAGAGTTGTAGGCAAAAGGCAAAAATATGCCCTACAAACATTTGTTATAATATTTCAAATCTATCTAGAAAATAATTCTGCTGGAGCTTTCAATGTATTTCATTCAGTCAATAAATACAGAAAAAATCAGAGGAACTAATCAACAACTTGCAGGTATAATCTTATTACCTTTGTTACTGAAGGTACAGACAGTAGTTAAGTCACCAATGCTAGTAATCCATGCCCTAGCCTTCTGGCACAAGGTGGATTTGCCTTCATCAGATATGATTGTCCCAAAATGGAATACCATTGCAAAAGTGCTCATGCTTTCTCTGCTGTGGTCTTGATGGTAAATAAGATACTTGGCTCTCCCGGAAGAAGGCAAGAGTTTTCAGTGTGCCAGAAAACACACATCAGTATCTAGTAACATAACAAGAGCAAATGCAACCATATTTATATGCTATTTTAACACTCCTAAGAAATAGGGAGTAGACAAACTTGGATTGATCCTATAGCTTATGTTGAGAAACCTCATTTTAATATCCAGCTGAAGAGAAAAAATAATACAGTAAAAAATATAATGCCTAACAGGTAATACCTTTCCTATTTAACAAAGAGTCATACACATACGTTTGCTTCATAGTATTATCACTCAGTTGGCTGAAAGCTATGCATTGTCTTGAAATACAAGTAATCAAATGAAAATATGAGTATGGTCCTAAAGAGACATAGGCAGCATGTACTAATATAGCTGCTTCCAGCAGTTTTGAGGTATTACTTGCGGGAAAAAAACCACAAGTAATTTAGCATTGTGATGAATGGCTATAAAACAGGGGATGTGAAAAAGCCAGATCAGGACTGACTATAAAGAGAAGATGAATTCCTACAAATCTGGCATTCAGTGATAAACATGCTGTACTCTACAGCAAAGTGCTCTGAAAAACTCATGCTGTGAAAAAAACAAGAAGGTAACTCCTACCTTAACTGAGATAAAGACAGATGTGAATTTTAACTCCCCATAGTTAACATTTATATTGTTAAAGGTAGTGATTATTAGTATGTTTTAATTTAACAGTAATTTTAAACAGAAATAAAATGTTTACTTTGAAAGCTACAGTCCTGAGCTACAACCAAAAATTGTTTTTCTAATTCTGCAGACAGAATCCACCCACTCTTACTGGATGAGTGTGTTCCAGAGTCTAAGCTTCTAATGAAAAAATTTTCTAGTCCTTGTGGTTGTAAAGATAACTCTCAAAAACTGACTGTAAGCAAAGAAGTCTGCCCAAGTATAAAGATGGCCTGGCAGAACAGGTCTGCAAGAAAGTAAACACTGAAAATAACAATTCATATTTCTATTGATACAGTCATGTTCCAAAGAGTATAATCTTGGTTGAGTTTTAACTGTAAAAACATTGAAAATATATGATTCATAGGTTGTGTTTATCATCAAAAGAGCACAACTAATTTTTGCATGCAGAATGCAATGGCATCAGTCCTTGCACATTTGTGCAGATGAAAGTATAGTGCCTTGTTCTCTCTTTTCCATTTTGTGCTCTTGCCCAGACAGCTAGACTGTAGCACATCACACATACTGTATTTATTAGAAATGTTTATTGTGCCACCAGTTTATCTCCATCTCATGCACTTGAAAATAAAACTGTTGTGAAGTTTAAATCTATTTTACTTGCATAAAACAGCCCCAGGTCTGGATCTGACTATCTTCAGAAATTCATCAAAATTAGGTTTTAGAAGCTTTCAGAAGTTTGGGTTTGGCTTATAGTTGTCACTCCATAGTGTATCATTTGCTGTCTTCCTCTGAAGCAAATAAAAACATCTTCAAATTTAGATGGTACCATCAGAATAGTCTGTGTTCTAGCTTTTTTTCAGTAAGGTTTATTATAAATAAAATGACTGCAGAGTAGTAATAATTATTTAATTATCCAGGAAGACAATTATTATTACTGCCTTTAAAAATGTGCCCCATTTATACAGGTGATACAACATCCACTAGGATGTTGACAAAGTTACACATCTGGCTCAAGTACTTGATATTTTAATTTCAAATCTAATTCTTTCTATTACACAACCACTTCAAGAGAATTTGGTAGGGCTGTATCACACATCTTATTCAGTATTCCACCCCTGACAAAGGCTCAGTAGCAGAGACTTGGGGAAGACCATTTTAAAAAAAACGGTAGTGCAAGAGAGACTTTTCCCCTTCTGGTGAGGTTTTGTAACTTCATTTTTCAAAAGTACTATTTGTGGTGACTGTAAGATCCTTTTCTTGAGTGGAATGAGCTAAGTTAGAGTTCAGTATTTTGTATGGACTTAATAATTTTTCACTTGTTACATTTACTTACATTGAATGTAATTTGCCATTTTACTGCCAGGCAGCCAGTAAAGGAAGATCTGTGACTCTGCAGTCAGTTGTAGATTTAACTATCCTGAATAATTTTGTGTCCTGTAGTTTGCATGTACACGTGTTCAAAGCTTTAAAAGTTACAGCTAGAAAGATTACTGTTTACATGCTAATTATTCACAACTATTCACATGAATCAAGGTATTCATATTTGTTATGTAAATGCCTCATTGGAAATACTAATGTAAACCCCAGCCACTCATTCACGTCTTTCCAAATGGATGCTTTTCTGTTGCCTTGCAGTACAGCCCACATGTATATATGATGGTAGTTGTTTAAAAGATAATATGGAACAAATTATGTATGTACTATATTTTCTCCACACGCTTAAGAATCTGGCAGTGAATACTGTCATGAGTTACGTAGTGGTACATTTACAGTGACAAGAATCTACTTGCGTGCAGCATGAGAATTTGGCTCTGATGTATTTCATTATGAACTGTGAGTTGCACTTTGGCTGCTTGGTTGTGGGACATGGTGACTGAAAGTGTTTATAGAACCATAGAATCGTTTAGGTTGGAAAAGACCTTTAAGGTCATCAAGTCTAACCATTAACCTAACCCTGCCATCCCACCACTAAACCATGTCCCTAAGCAGTGACAGGGTTGAGTTAGATTTTCATTAGTCAATACTGGTGGCTGAAGCACAATAATAAAAACCTTTTAACAATGCAAGTTACTATTAAAACAGTGCAAGGTCAACATCTAAGTGTAAACTTTCAACCTCTGTGCTTCTGTAGTAGCTGTTCCTTCCCAGATTCACTCAGTACTAAGGATACGATTGAAGTATGGAGAATTCAGGCTTACAATGGCTGTGTCTAAGACAAGAAAAAATTACAATAGTTATATACTTGCTAAGTTACCGTTCAAATGTTCTGATTATTTTATATCTTCTCTTTAGCTCCTTGCTCAGAAGTGGCCTTTTGGAGATTCTGAATTTGGACAGTTTCTTTGCAAATTCCTTCCCTTTATACAGAAGGCATCAGTGGGAATCACAGTCCTTAATCTCTGTGCCCTTAGTGTGGACAGGTACAGTATGTTTTACTCTTTTGACATACACTGTTCTTGCCCTTGCAAGTTTTCCTAAAACTGGGAGCACCCCGTATGGTCTTCTTAGCATGCAGACTACAGTATAGATGTAACTTACACTCTGGTTTTTGATATTCTGGCTATAACAAAGCACCACACCTGTGGCTCAAAGTAAGCCGTTGGACTAATTAACTTTACAGGTTCTGTAAAGGTGTTTAAAGGCTCTGATAAATAAAATATATTATGTGTATTCATGCAGCAATGCAAAGGTAAAAGAAACTTTAAAATTAATCTTGGTTTGGTTTTACATAAGAAGTTGATGTACAAGGTTTGTAATGAATTAGTAATTTAGTAGTATCCATACCTGAAATACAGGTCTTTATTGCATTAGTAACTCATTAGCTGAAGCCAGAAACAAAAAACATGTAACATAGGCAAGTGTTCTATTTCCATTTTTGAGTCTGAGAACTATAAAAAGAATGCTGTTTCTCAAACAGTATCTGCCCAGCAATGCAGTCTCACTAGATTTAGTCCCACTGTTACACACATTTTCATAAATTGGAAGTAACTCAGCTGAAGCACCTCTTTATATATGCAGTATTTTTACTAGCACTGATTTGCTAATTCTCACAACAATCAAATGCTGTTACCATTTGAGTATAAAGTCTTGTATGGGATCAGACTCTGAGTATTTAATTTCCTCCCCCAGTTTACACGCTTTGCCAAGGACATATTCTTTATCATCTGGTGCTACTCAAGTTAATGGGTGCAGAGAATGTGTGTTAGAAAACAGATGTATACAGCCAGATTCTGATATTGGTTAACATTTAATTAATCTAGGTTAAATCACTGTGAAATCAGGATCTGAGAGCGCCTTCACAACTTAGGTCGGGCACTGGAAGTGGCATAGTCACATTAATAAAGAATTCCACATCAGCTAATGCTTGCTTCTTAGTATGGAAAATGAGTAAATATGAAATTGTGTGCTGTCACAGCTGGACTCTTTCTGGTCTACAGGCGAGTTATTCTTTTCTTTAAAAAGCTCCTGAAAACTATCTCATTTATAGTTAGTTTGTGTGTCTATATATGGAATTGCATTCTACAAGGTAGAAAAAAGATAGTCAACTGGTATAATGAATCAAGAGCTCCATAGCTCTCATAATTGTTGACCCTCTGTCCCTCTCGCAGACTACAGCCTTAATTTAGAACAAGATTTTTTTTTTTCCTGCAAGGACTGTTGTCTGTGCTAACTACATCCTATTGTGAAACTCCAACCATTACTAGCGCCCCTTGCACACAGTGGCTTGCACTGAGAGCGTATGAAGGTTTAACTGTGCATGCCCAAGGGGATCAATGTCCACTCACACTTGGAGAGGGTTTTAAGACGCTGACAAAAACACCAAACCAGCCATTCACCCTGCAAAGGAAGCTCACATTTGTTTCAGATGCCTCTCAGGCATTTTTAAACTCTAGGTCACAATGGTGAGGATAGCCTGACTCTTTTTCTAAACAGTGCCTGACTGTGACTAAGAGGAAGGATATTTCCCTTCCTGAGCTTTTACTCTTGCTTATGTCTCGGGCATAATGATTTTATGAAGAGATGGCTTTAAGAAGTGAAGATACGGATCTCATTTAATATATATACACCCTCTTCTTGCCTCCTCTGCATACCAAATTGCATAGAACAGTAATCTCAGGGTAGGTACTTTCATCTGGCCCAACTTCCAGTAAGTGTATTAGATAAGTCAAGATTTTACCACTAAAACAAAGCTCTAAGAACGTTATTGTATTAAGAGATTTGCAATGAACACACTGCTGGCTATCTTTAAAATCACTAACAGCTGTGATCTCTCACAATGAAAAAGAATAGATTGATATCCGCAACAGCAGTGTCATTTAGGAACTGTTCTGACACTAATTTTGACAGTGACTGATTCTTACATCCTTGATCCTCTTATCTTTTCTGTATTGCTTTTCCCTCTTATAAAGGGCTCATGATACTTGCAGAACAGAAATATGTTATACTGGTGGGCCATTTGAACAACTAATTTTCTAATGCAGTCAAAAGGAATAGGGAAACAAAAGGACCTCCTCTGTAACACAGCAGGCACAGGGGACTGATAGTCCACAGACAAGCTATAGCCCATGACATAATTTTCATATACTCCTTGATTTCATTTCATAAGGCCCACAATGCATTTTCTTTAATTCTGATTAGATTCCACTATGGTAAAATTCATCCAAATAGTTCCAAAAAAATAATCAGGGCCATTGCAAAAACCACAACCATGCTGCATTAATGAGACTGATACTGGAACTAGAGTTCTAGAATTATTCTCTACCAAAGAATGATGAAATCACAGAGAGGGCGTAGAAATGATTCAGTAGCCTTACAGATCTCAATTAGTTGCTTATAAAAAATGATACTTAAGAAGCCACTTAAATACAATATCCAAGTACTGAAATTATGATGTTGTGTCAGATATCCATGGGGTCTTTAGCTTAGGAAAGAAAGATACAAGAACCTATAGAAAAAGGTTTCAGCCAGATAAATTCCAAATAAAAATAAGGCACACTTTTTTAACAATGAGGGTGATTAACTATAAGAGGAAACCACCAGGGAAAGGCGAAGGTGTCCTGCTCTTAATGTTCTCAGATCAAGACGGGATGTCCTTCTGAAAGAAATGCTTTAAGCAAGTTATAACTAGATAGGAGTGCAAAATATTTACTTGTATGTATGTATACTTTAAATGTAATGATCCCCTGTCCTTAAATATTGTGCATCTCTAAATACAAGTAGCAGGAGGGACTGCAGAGTCCATGAAAAGCAAGTTGGAATAAATAGCTAAGAATGGGAGAAGAGGGAGGAGAAGAAAACAGAGGAAAGAGAGCAACTGAAGGGCACAACATGCTAAAGTTGACAGCACATGCATGAGTACTAGAAAATGAATAGGGGAGAGAGAAGAGGAGTCACAGCATTAAACAGAGAGAAGGAAATGACCTGGAAAATAACGGAATATTTTAGACAAGGTTGGAGACAAAAGGGAAACAAACAAAAAAAAAGTAAGACAAACCACACACACACAGATTTTAGATTGGGGAATTAAATGTAATGCATGATGCATGTATTTTCTAAGTATGAGGGAAATAAACCCTGCAGTATTTTCCCACTCCTAATTATGGGAGGTTTGTGGCTAAGCAAAGATCCTATATGTTACATAACTCACAGAACACCTACCTGAAAAATTATACTACCACTATTTTTCAAATCACTCTTACAGCAGTGAGTAAAGTGACCAAGTAATTGCAGGTTAACATGCATTCAGAAAATTCTGATCTAATTACTGAGCTTCTTATGCTTCAGCTGAAACCATTCATAAAATTCTTCAGCCAATAATTCCTTATCTGAGAGTTATTTGAATTGTAAACTGAAAAAAATTGCTAATAAAATACATACAGGACCCAAATCCTTACTGCTGTGCATACTGATCTTCTCATGTGCAAAACAGAGGTAATTCAAACAGAACAGGTACAAAAATGCAAGAAAGGAAATAATTGGATTCACAATTTACAACCCATTTGTTGTCACTTACATAGTTACACAGGTGACACGACACAAACATTACATTTCTTACTTGAAAATTATGTAGTCCACAGGCCCCTGTTTCCTAAGAACATCACTCAGTCAAGGATGAGGTAGTATCATGTACCTTGTGAAGCTGATGGGACCGACTGTAAAATTGCCAGTCAGTAGAAAGTAAACTTCAAATTCATTGTTAAATTATCAAAGTTCACAAATATTTAAGTATTTGTGTGAAAATTTATATTTCTATGAGTAGTCCAGTTGGTCAGTAAAGCCAAAATTTGACATTTGGTAAAACAAAATATAAGAGGATAACACACAAATTACTTAAAATTAAATTTGAATTTTAATATGGGTAAATGTGTGTGAGAAGATATGATGTTGAATGTTACTTTCTCAGTTATCTCAGTATAGTTTATTTGTTTTGATGCTCTCAGAATTCCAATCTCATAGACCTCCTCCCCATGAGTGAGCCATTGCCTCCCTCCCTTCTGATATTCTTTGAAGATAAGAATCCTTTAGAAGATGTTATTTTTAATCTGCAAGTCCAAAATGTAGTTTGCTTTAGTATGTTCAAAATCTTTATGCATACATTTCTGTTAAAATGATGTACTGAGAACCTGGCTGTAGCACACCTGTGACTATGCTGTGTATGATAGTGCTACAGATATCAAAGCAAAAGTTTCTAGTCTGTTTACTGCAAGAGTGATGGCATACGAGGCTCTGACACCTTCCAGTGATGCTCTGTAATAATGCTTTCTGAAGTTTTTGTAAGGGGCTTACAGCCTGATCTTGCATTCATGCATCTTCCTTCCTCTAACATCAAGGTGACAGGGGATTTAATTCACAAGTCTTCCATCCTGTTAATAAGAACTCTTCTGGACAAAAAAGGGAGGGTGACACAGGAAATCAGAAGAAATGGTGTGTGTGTGTGTGAATCCCAAATTTGTATCTTGATTAGAGGAGGGGTGAGGATGCCTTTTAATAACTAAATTTTACTGACCTCTACAGCCTAGGTCCTATAGCCCTTTAATGTTTTTTCCCATTGGAAGCTCTTCATTCCTTCCATCTCAGAAGTTCAAAATCCAGTACTTCCCAGTACACTCAAAGCATCCTAACCCAGAGTACTCAACTACTCTTTTCCTTAAACCCTTGTTATCCCTGAGCCTTTGAGCCTATGTCAAAATTCCGAATTCCTTCCAATTACCTCTCTACCATCCCACCCTAATCCTTCCACAACCTAATTCTCCAACTTAAATTTTTGTGATCTAAATTCCCCTGTTCTTTCCTTCCCTTGCCAAAGCTCACCCGTCCGTGCAACTCAGAGCCTACATACCTACAAGTTGTATCCTCCTGGTCTGTTGAGGGCACCTCCTTTGCCCATACCTTTCACCTTCCTTGTGCCTGCTGGTATGCCCTTTTGTACTCCAGTTACCCGCTGTCATCAGTTAAAATCACCACCCCGTTTGCTTTTCTCTGAAAAGCTTAACCTTGCTCATGCCTTGGAAAGGTGAATAGAGGTGGCAGCTGCACGTGTCCAAATGTATTTGCCAGGCCTCAAGGGGGCAGAAAATGAGGTCATGTCTGAGGAAGAAAAGAATCCCTGCCATAGTCAGGACAGGAAAATGACACATCTCCTTACAATTTATAATCTGCATCAGTGACTTCTTATTCTGACTTTTTTTTAAAGCAGATGAACAACCTTTCTTGACTTTTTTTTTTCTTCAGCTAAAGAAGACTATTTAATCAGTGATGCCATGACATATCCGCACAGCACTGTAATTCCAAATGGGAAGGTGCTATTATTTTGGGGAACTAAAATAAGCAGTTTAGAAACTGTTGCATTACTAATGACAGAAAGATCTCCAGCATGCATTTCAGATTATTACAACATCAAAAATAATATTTGTTCTTTCCATAAGTTTTAGATAGCACTGTCTTTCCTAAATTGTTTGAAATGCTAAGTAACTTGTTTACAGCAGTTATTGCTAGACAACAGTTAAGTCTGCTACTGAAAATTTTATTTACGGACTGGTTTGTACTCTGTATTGTATGCCTATCAGTCGTCTTCAAATAATTTTCAAACCTTTTGACCAGGGTTGACAGACAGGTTGAGGTCTCAAAGCTAATAGATTTCTACAAGTTCCTTGAAAACTGGCAGACAAGTAGAGGAGAAAAGACCCTCTCAGTTCCCCAGCTGGGGGAAAGGCTGCAGCCTTGTAACAAGAATCCTCCAGCATTGGAGGGACAGAGAAGGTAAAGAGAGGAAGAGGAAAAGGGAGAAACACATGGGCTGTATTTGAAACATCTTTAAGGGTTCTCACCTTTTCCCAGTATTACAGTTATGAGATGCATACACACAGGAAAGCAGGTTTCAATAATTCCACTTTTTACAGAGAAACTTGCTGTCTAAGGGATAAAGTAGTGGGAAAATATGTTGGGTTTGGCACGTACAGACGACTTTGCCATGCACTTCAGTTTCTCATCAGAAAGGTGATGCAGAGGCTGAGATAGCTGTCAGACAATCCTAACTAGCACTCATTTGTAGTCTAAGGCAAATACAGAATATGCTGCATAAACCCATTATTTTTAACATTGAATAGTGTAAATAGAACAAATGCATTTTCATTTCATCAAGAGTATTTTCACAATATTTTATTACATGGAAGCTGACTGCTTCAGATAGCACTGCTGTTACAGCTGAGCTAGCTGAAGGAGATAGCTGTTTTACATCTGTTAGAATGGCTTGTGTGCCTGGAAGCTTGCTTTCTTCTGTTATGTCAGTTGATCTAGTGAAAGATATAGTCTGTCCTCACAAACCTTGCCTTCTTTAATTAGAAATCATTAGTGTAGTTCACGTAGTAGAATTCCAAACAATCCTGTGCCTAAGCAGAACGGTTGCAGCCAGCTCTCTGCTACCCACCTCTTGATGTGCTGCTCCACTGTGTCCTAGGTGGCTTGATAGCTGGCAGAGCCCCTAGAACAGGCAGAAAAAAACAAGAAATGCAAGCCTAAGATGTCAGCTTTAGGATTTTACTTAATATTTAAAACTAAACCAAGATCTTTGAATTTAAGGAAGAAACTGAAGGTTGGAAACTATGCCTGTCTCTTTCAGGTATAGAGCAGTTGCCTCCTGGAGCCGCGTTCAGGGAATTGGAATCCCGATGATCACTGCTATTGAAATTTTCTCCATTTGGCTTTTGTCCTTCATACTGGCTATTCCAGAAGCAATTGGTTTTACTGTGGTACCTTTCAGATACAAGGATGAAGGTTATGTTACCTGCATGCTCAATCCTACAAATAATTTTACGTTGGTAAGTAACTTCCTTTCTTTTCTTTTTGGAATCCACTGTGTATAGGTTAGACAATTAAGATACTGGATTATAACGCACTTTATTAATCCATTAAAGTGCAAAATATATGCTAATGTATATTGGTGCAAAGAGGATCCTTCATTTACAGTGACCTGTCTCTACTTTCAGCCAGAGATACTAAATGGGACTTTACAACATTTTCGTTTCTTCACTACTGAGGATTCTTAATACAGAAATTTGCAATTCAGGCCTGCTTAAAGGACAATCAAGAGATCTATCAGGGTAGCCAGAACCTTGGAAGGTATTGTTTTTCTAGGTATAACACCTTGGAGCTTGTAACTGTCAACAAACACGTTTTACCATGATTAGTCATCATTTTGCATGCAGTAGCCAGCTCTTTTGGCAGATAAAGAAAAGGGTGGGGCCGTGCTCTAACATAGCTTTTCCTATTCTGTATGTGTTTACGAAGTCAAAGAGAGAACAATCCCTTCATTTACAAGAAATCATGATCACAAATTTGACAGACTCACATCTCCAACCTAGGTAGCTTGGGCACTGTTAGCTGTCATCTACATACAGCAACTCAAGAGCAAGAGAAGTGCCTGGACACACCAGGCTTCTTTGGCACGTTTCATAGCCCTCATCCGCTGTGCTACTGCGGCTTAACAGTTGCCAACACCCACATTAGCTTGCTCAAAGCAAGTCAGGTGAATAGCCACTACAGAATGAATAAATCTTTACTGCATGGGGGAATAGTGATTTTATGCCTGGCCTTACACTGAGAAAATGGGAAAGTGCTATCGTAATTTTTAATTTGTGAACTCAAAGAAGGGCCAGCCACTATTCACCCAGTAATAAAAAAGAATAATATTCTGTTTTGTCTCAGAGAAGGCAGATAGTGCAAGGACTTAAGTCTTGAGGGAAACTCCATATTTTTTTCAGACTAGAATTTTTCACAATGGAGTTCTCTTCTGAATGTCTGGCACTTCTTTTATTGAATCAGAACATATCTTGGGCTAGAATTGGGAAAGATAGGGCAAAATGGAGCTAGGAAATTTAGAAAATAAAAAGTGTGGATAATTAGTGTTTTTCAGAGGAGCATCCCCAGCTTTGGTAGGCTTACACAGACTGCAAGGATGGCAGAAAGAGCAAAAGACAATTGCAAGAGAACACAAAAGGAATTCCCTAATGGAAATAATTAATGCAGGTGAAGACAGAATGGAATTGCCCAAGACTTACTATATCTTTGTATCTAAACTCTACAAACTATATGACTGTAGATACTGTAGTTATGAGAATATGATTTATGAAATGCACACTGCAGCAAATTTCCCTTTTGTAATGGCTGTTTTTTCTCCTCACTTCCTCTCTCCTTCTCAAAATCACTACAGTTCAGGTCTTCCATAGGCATGCTAACTTTAATGATTATTGTTCCATTCTTAGTGTGGTAAGTAGAATAGCTTGTTTTGTTTTATTGGCAGGATTTACTATCTTTTACTTGCTCAGCATAATTCAAAAGCTCCAAATCTCCCCACACCAGTTTGATTTTCAAGGAAAGAAGCCAGCATTTACATCCAAGCTGAGAGTAAATGTGGGATGTGTCAGTCAAAATGGAGAGTGTTGTGTTTCAATGCATTGCAAGCAAGTACAAACATGAGATTAAAATGGAAATACCATTTTAACCTTAACTATAGTATTTACTACCACAAACACCACAATAAACAATTACTAAACTTTAACAAGGATTTATGATTAACTTTTGGTTTTAATGGGACCTTTATTCATGTTTAAAGCTATCCTTGAAAGACTTAAAAGATTCATGCTAGACCATGATTCCCAAGAGGCTGAGTGCACTAGGAAACTTGTTTAAAATGCACATTTCCTGTAGAAAACCAGTTCCATGTGGGCTTTCAAGACAAACAAAAGAATGTCTACTTCTCTTAAATCAACCCAATTTTGTGCTTTGATGTAAGCTTTGTGAAACTCAGATTCCACAATTAATCATTTGCAGACATTTTTGTGTAGGTTTTGTAACTTCACAAAGCCAGGTCCTCATACGGAATTGTTGCACTGGTCAGGGTTGTGACAGAGAACTCTATGTGTGTGTTTTCCTGGCTGATGGGCAATGCTCATGAAAGCTGGTAGACTGATAGGACAGAAAGTTTTCCTTGTAAACATAGCATGGATTCACACAGTACACATTTTATTGCGCTGCCCAACAAATATGATTCTAGTTTGACTTGGAGGAATTTGCCACGGAAAAGATAATTGTCTCCATGTATTTGTAATCCCTTTCTCTGCAGAAGGAGTGGTAATTAGATTTCCCTTCAGTACAAACTCTTCAAATATGAGGCATATTGTTTTCTCATTTTCTGCTGGCAGAAGCTTTGTTCCCAGTAGGGGAAATTCTGCCCCCAAGGAGAGTGCAACTATGCGGCAGACTGTAGCACCTCCTCACGAAGGGATGAGGATAATGAGGAGGAGGAAACAAGCTAATCGACACAATTCAAAATGTCCTATGAGGTGGGGTTGTGGCCTAGATACCAGCAGCATTCTCTAAATTAGCAAGCTCTGTAAACAGCTAACTGTGTTGGGGCAGAGCGAGAAAAAACACATGCATTCCCTTTTTCTTAGAAAATCAACTTTCTAGTGTAACTAAAGTAGATTTAAAAATGAACATTATTAAATACTAGTCTATTAATCACCTCCATTTTTTCCGTCTTTCAAAGCTTAGTACCATTCACTTTTAAATGTAAACAAGATGTCAAAAGTTTGGCTTTTTCAAACAGGATTCATATAATCCTCAGTTATTACCATTTTGACATTTGGTGTGGGAACTGTGATGTTACAAGAGCACATCCGCTAGGAATAAACAAGCTAGGGGAAAGATTATGAGAAAGAAGGTTCCCTTTTACACACATCCATCTCAGTGACTAATAACATAGAGACAGGAAATATTTAAAATGTCATATTTCAGTGCACGCTTTTGGCTGAGCATAAAAGTTAAAACCCAAGATGCAATATTTTCTCAAGTCTGAAAATATAATAATGTACAGAAAAGAGTAATTCTGAATGTTTTGTCAAATGTAGTATTTCCCATAATACATAAACATATTTACTTAAACCACAGCTTAAATCACAGCTAACACTTAAAATTACACAGCAAAGTACTGCTACTCTATCAAGTCCCTCAGTGTCCTGTCACAAAAGGCAAATGGTATGAATGGCAGGCAAAGGGTTAAAAGTAACTGTACCACTAGAAGCCACCCGTCCTAAGCTTTGCATGTATCAGACAAACACTTACGAAGTGGCTCCTATCTGCCCAGTACATAAGCAAACCAACTACCAATCTTTTCACTGATAACAAAAGGTGATTAAACGTGCAAGACATTTTGAATTTTCCTTTTTTGGAATCAGGACAGAAGCCATAGAGGTAAATGGCATTTCCTGAGACAGGCTTTTAGTAAGTTTTGTTATCTCAGAATGACACCGTCTACATTTCAAGAAACTGGATTCCAGTTTTCATGAACGAGTGTAAATGTTAAGAAAACACAACCAAAAAAATTAATTCCAACCCAAGATGGATTGCAACAAAGGTACAGGCAGGCTATCTGCAAGGTAAAATAAATGTTTGCACTGACACAATTCCTATTTTGACGTCGGTCCAAAACAGATCAACAATAAGAAAGTTTACATAATTTGTGCTGTTTACCAATAGACAGATACCAGCATACCAACTGTCACGCTTTCCAAGACCCGTCTGTGGTACTTTCCATTGAATCCTAAGAATATATCTTCTCTTTTCTTTACCTTATCTACAGTTTTACAAAGATGCAAAGGATTGGTGGCTGTTTGGTTTCTATTTCTGCATGCCACTGGCGTGTACTGCCATCTTTTATACGCTAATGACTTGCGAAATGTTAAACAGAAGAAACAGCAACTTGAGAATTGCTCTCAGTGAACACCTTAAGCAGGTAAATATTAGGAACACCAATGTCTGAAAATACTGTTCTCTCTTTGGGTTAGCTTAGAAATGTTTCAATACAGTACATTACAGAAATGGAAAGTGAGGGTGTAGGTTATTTATGACATTAAAGTATTCATTTAAACCTGGAACACAAGACTAATCGTGGTATAAGGAGGTACTGAAGACAGCATGCTCTGGAAACTAGCCAGTTTCTTTTTTTTCTTAAGCATGTGTGACAGTTGTGCTTTCCTGCTCTTTACCCTCAAATCACTACTGGCTAAATGCTTTGAAATTTAACTACAAAGATTTGCAAAAAAAATGTTTCTTTTTATTCACAAAGATATGACTCCATGGGTCCTCCCTACTTTTGGCACACTTTGATATGCAACTTTAGTTTCATATAAAAAGCAATTGTAGAATAACCAGGTTTAGAATAGAGTGGATCTTTTTTTTTCCAGGGTTATTGCACTGTTGCAGTACCACTACTGTAGCTGCTTTGAAAAGAGCAACAGGAGAATAGTACAAACAAATGATCATAGAGTAAAGTCACTCACAGAACCGTCAGATCTCACTTTGCTGTTCTTGCAGTGCTATCTGATGTTTAATTCCTAACTGAAATTTTAAAAACAATCTGTAGCTTTTCCCCTGTGTTAACGTCAGCCCCTCAGATTCCACTCTTCCTTTCAAATTTCACATTCGCAGATGTGAATCCCTAAAGCAATCTCCTCTGCATCGGAGCGAGTTCTCTCGGAGGTTCCACCCTTGCTTGTTCATTCCAGATCAGAGCAGACCACAAAATCCTCTCCTTGTGCAGATCCTCCACTTTTTCCCCTCATCAGGCCCGTCCTGGGGCCAACACAAGCTACTCCGCCCATTAAAACTAGAATGGTGTGTACAGGGTCAGGGAATCCACCCTCCAGCTTTACCATCCTGACATGCAGTGCCCAGCAAGTTACTCAGACTGGTTGCTGGAGGATGACTTTATGCCACAATTTACAAATGCTTGTCTTTTAACTATCACCTTTTGCCATTCTTTTTTCCTTCCTCCCCTACAGCCCTGTTCACATCAATGTCTAGACACAATCCTTTTTGTATTTTGATAAAAACTGCTATTGTAAGAAAGAAGAAACAATAATAGTCATATTCAAATCTGAACAAGAATTACTGTAATCACGCATTTGACTAAGTTTTTTAATGACAGAGCCTTGCAATGCTTGTTATTGTTACATGACAGGGGCCATCTCAGAAGTGGTATTCTTACCCCTTCATATGCTTCTCTTTATCGAATCCGTGCCTACCAAACACCACTGGTATGCATTGTCAAAAATCCACTAAAACATCTGTGAATCTCTAGAGCCATATAAAATATCCATTAAATTGAAATTGTTTCCTGACTAAGTATTATGAGATTAAGCTGTAATACAGACATCTCTAAAATTTTGTTTGTAGAGGAACTATTTACTTAAGAACATCAAGATCACATAGCAAGGATCACATAGCAAAATTAGTATACTGGGAAGCATCCCTTCAGGTAACACGATGCATACTAAATGTAAAATAATACATCAGAGAGAATTTGACATCCTGGCTAGGTACGTGGTTGAATGGAACTTTTATTGCCAATTGACTTAGGTGCCGTGGGTTTACAGATTGCCCCACATCAAGGATTAGGTGCAAGTGGTTTATCAAGCAGGTGTGATCTCAGTTTCCTTCATACATGAAAAAGTTTTCTTGCACATTATGCATGTTTCTGAAGGAAGAGACTTATCTGAGGGATTGCCAGAAAACTAATCCAGTGTAGAGGAATAAAAAGGGCTGGGAAAGTAATCAGGTTCAGGAAAGCCCAGCAGTGGATTTTCATTGGCTAACATTTGCAGTGTCCTGGCAATGACCTGTGTGCTCCAGCTGCTCCAGTCTCAGTGATGAGAAGGTTCTGTTGAGGATAATCAGAATCAAGAACATGACAAGTCCCATAAAAAACAGTTCAGGGACATCAGGTAGTCTGAGAAACCTTGCATGCTTTATCTAGATTACTTAGTTTGCTGCCAACATCACTACACTACAATCATCTACCAATATGAATTAGGCACTGAATCACAGTTATCTTTACTTCTTTTTCTAGCGTCGAGAAGTTGCAAAGACAGTTTTCTGTTTGGTAGTGATTTTTGCTCTTTGCTGGTTCCCTCTCCATTTGAGCCGAATTTTGAAGAAAATGGTATACAATGAAAGAGACCCCGGCAGATGTGAACTGCTCAGGTACTTCATTTCTATGTCAATTGATTGTTTATACTGAAGAAATATAATGCCGCACCCTTAGGAGTTTATGTGAGAAAAGTCATTGTGCATGCCACTGTGGCGTTAGAAGAGTGAACACTTAATTTTATGATTTTTCAGCTGCATCCATTTTCAGGGGTTTATGTTTTAATGGGGTAGCATAATCTCAATAAATATTGTCTGTCACCATTGCAATCACTTTCTTCTGGCTTTTGGGAACTTCGGTAAGACAGGTTATTACAGACCTGGCATGGTACAAGGTTAGATTGAGGGAGTTAGGTAAGAGAGAATTAGTTTCTGTGGCAGAAGAGATTGTAACTACAAATGCTTGTACAGCATATGAACAGTTTAAATGCTTTGCTTTCTCTTTTGTTGCCTAGTTTCTTGCTGCCATTGGATTATATCAGCATCAACCTGGCAACCATGAACTCTTGTATAAACCCAATAGCTCTGTATTTTGTGAGCAAGAAGTTTAAAAACTGTTTCCAGGTAAGATCTTCTTGGTAAGGTTTTATGTCCAGTTAATGAGCTGTATTAAACCACTTAGTTATTATCTATTTTTATCAGTTGGGAGAAGAGGCATGCAAAGGAATGAAAGATTATAAACTGTCTAGTTCACCAGCCAGCAGCTCGCATAACACATGTGCCCAACTGCAAGTGGAACTATCCACTTTATCTGAAATGCTAAAGCAGTAAATAAGTTTGACATAGTCCTCATACGTAAGCATGTAAACTGAGATAGACATGCTCTTGTAAGTACTATTTATCTGCATGTGACATGTACAGGAAATAGAATTTGGTTTATAACATATTTCCCACTCCAGGTGAAGACAAAGAACACATACATAGGACACCAAGCTGCCTGCAGTTAAACAATCCCATTAACAACTACAATTTTCAGGCTTGAATACCAAAGCAGGCACCTGAGTTGACCTTGGCAATTAAATACGCATTATGGCTTTTACCTGCATTTTTCCAGTTCCTACACACGAAAACATATTTTAAGGCTAAAATAATTTCCTTTTGATGCTTTGGCTCTGCAAGTCCCCATTCATCTAATAAAGGTGATACATGAAGAAAGAAAATGATAGCATAGAGTGGTAAAGAAAGGAATGAAATGGAAAAGGAAGACTGAAATAGCTTTATCTGCAAAGAAAAACAAAAGATGACAGGACTGTACCACTAAACTTTACGGCTGCAAATACGGAACTCAAGCTACTGAAAAAATGTAATAAGTTATTAGAATAAGGAATACCTGTTTGTCTGTAGCCTGCTCAGACTTACAAACTCTTTTAAGGAAGTATTTTCACATGATAAATAAGAAGTCAGCTTTGATTTTTACAGTCCCCTACTTCACTTGGGACTTGTGGAGAGGAGGATGCCTGAACTTGTCCTCAGGTGAAAGGGAGAAGTAACAGTGGGTGCTACGAGGCTGCTCCTCATATCATTAGTTCATTCTTCCTGTTTGTCCTTCCAAATAAAATTACCATCCAACAACTCTAATTAAAGAATTTTCAGATATTATTCAATCCTTCCCAGCTTCTCATTATAGCCTTTCTCTTCTAGTATCAAGGTCATTAACTCAGGCAATCTTTCCATTTTGTATTTGAGTTTCTCACCCTACCTCTGTTGCTATTTTACATAGATACCTCATACATATATCTTAAGCCTGGTTTTATCTCTCTGCAACACTCCCTTCTCATTTAGTTCACAGAAGTTATAGATCTACTACTGTTATTGCCATTGCTCCTCTG